TCTTCATGGAACATGATCTTTACTTAATATCCTAATGATTTTTGGCATAAAAGAGAAATGTATAATTTTGACCCATACAATGTATTGTTGGCTATTGCTACAAATATCCCCCAGCGACTTAACACTGCTTTTGTGCTCCAGGGTCACATATATACCATAATATGAACTTCCTATTATTGAATTGTTGTAAATAAATATCATATTTGCAACTGGTCAGTGTTCAAAAACGGCTGGGAAATCACTTCACGTAGCCCTAAAATAGTGATTACTGACAGACTGTCAAAAGTCACATTTCACAGAAGAACAAATCACCCGCTGACTGTCAGAGCTGCTACATAGTAACGACTTTCTACTTCGAGGAGGACTTTTGATAGAAATGTAGTGGAGTGAAATGTATGATATTAGTCTTTCAAGTCATAAGTTTCCAGGAAAAATAACACTCAGTTTTTAAGGGTATCAGAGGGATGTGGGAGAGAAGCATGTGATACCAGAGTAACGTAAAGCCACAACTTACACATCTGTGTTCAGATCATCTTTCATCTCACAACATCAGTGTAATGGCAATATTTCCATCCGCTGAATGCAAGCTTTTCCATATTCCAAGCTGGCCTGATGCACTGCTGATTCACGGAAACTAATGTATTGTTGGATTGCAAGTCAGTAAGGGGTAAAGGCATCAAAACTAACAAGCTGTTTTATGGATGGTAACTGTAATATTATTACTGAAATCATATTAGTTAATACTTGCACTACTAGTTACTGCAAAAAGCGATATTATTACTGTAACTAGTTACACTGTATATGAAACAGCAAACAGGATCAGGGTTAAAAATGAGCAATCACAACCGTGAACTAATGATCCAAGCTGCTGTTGTGTGTCGCAGGAGGAGTGTGTGTGCGTGATGATGATGATGAAGATGACGAGGCGTCTCTGTTAATGATGGTGAGTGATGTCATCATCAGCTCTGCCTGTGATTGGTCTGAGTGAATGTAATGTGTGTGTGTCACTGATCAGGATGACGGGAACAGACGCGAGCGGATCAGACCTGCACACACACACCTGGATGAAGGTGTGTATGAATCACACGACTCACAGTCACCGACGACTCACGGGACACAGTGTGTGAAATACATGCAGAGACGAACCCATAAGACATTAAAGATTTGACATTGATGTCACACATTGTAAATAATTAGATATAGGTCATATTGTGCTTATTAATGAAAGGATTGTCAAGCCAGATTTATTTCTATAGCACTTTATACAATACTGTTCCTTTCAAAGCAGCTTCATGGAAATAAACAGGAAAATAACAGTGTTAACAGATTCAGCTGTAAAGCAGCTCTGCAGAAGACAATAGAGTCATTATTTAGATCAGTTCTGTTGCAGAAGTTCATCAGTTATGCTCAATCAAGGGCACACAGCAAAAACTGATTTTCTTCCTCAGTAAAAATATCTCAGCATTCTTAAATCAAGATGCATTTACTGCTTAAAACAATACCAACATCTGCCAAAGGGGTCAGAAAAAAATCAATGGGAAAAGGAGATTATTTTTCTGGCCACGTTGGCTGATATTTGTTAAAGATGTAATATCTAATGCCATTGACCTACTCAAGTAAATGTTTCTTGATTTAAGGATTCCTAGATATCTGCAATGGTAAACAAGACAAAAACACTGAGGGGAAAAAAATCATTTTTTTACAGTGCATACTCTGAGCTGAAATCATCTTCATGTTCATCAGGTCTCTCTGATGTCTCCATCTAGTGGCACAGATCAGTCAGTGCAACTCAAACACATGAGGAGTGTTTCATTAATGATGTGCAGCCTTCAGCACATTTCAATGTTCATTAATACTGGAATATATTATCTACCGCAGTCTAACTGTGTGTGTGTGTGTGTGTGTGTGTGTGTGAGTGAGTGAGTGTGTGTCTAACTGTGTGTCTAACTGTGTGTGTAACTGTGTGTGTGTGTGTGTGTGTGTCTCTATCTGTGTGTGTGTCTGTGTGTGCGCGTTTTTGTGACAAATGAGGACATAAATTTGTATAATGACAAATATGACCCCTTTAAATGTTTCTTGATTCAAGAATTCCTAGATTCCTAGGAACACAAGACAAAAATACTAATCAAAATAAATCATTTAATGCAGTTGGAGGTGAAATCATCTTCATGTCTCCATCTAGTGGCACAGATCAGTCAGTGCAACTCAAACACGTGATGAGATCAATTCATTAATGATGTGCAGCCTTCAGCATATTTGAATATTCATTAATGCTGGAATATATGTCTAACTGTGTGTGTGTGTGTGTGTGTTACAGACAGCTGTCCTGCTGAACGAGGTCCTAAAGGTTGCATCAGTGCAGGAGTAAGTGTGTTTGTTGGTCTCTGTGATTGTGTTAGTGTTGTGTGAGATGTGTTTAGTGTTGTGTGAGATGTGTCAGGTGTGTGTTTGTGTCTGCAGGATGTTGTGCACGCTCCTCCTCGTCCACTGCGTGTTAAGCCAGGTGAGCACAACAACACGAAACACACACACTGAGAATCAAAAGCATGATCCACCACACACACCTGCTGTCAGAAATGGGCAGTATTTCAGTGAAAATATATTTAAAATATGTATTTTATTAGTTCTGAGTTTTTTGCCATTTGCATTTTGAGAAATTGTATTTTGTGTATTTATATGAATTTAACATTTGTTTTATTCTTAAATAAGACAAGTAGTGCTGTCATAACGATTAATCGCATCCAAAATAAAAGTTTTTGTTTACATAATGTGTATATGGTGTATATGGTGTATGTATATATAAATACACATGCATGTATACATTTAATAAAAATGTTTATATAATAATAAATTTATATATATATATATATATATATATATATATATATACACAATTACAAATTTGCAAAAATCTTGGCATATTCCAAATATATATATATATATATAATAAATATACACAATACACACTCATATATTATGTAAACTTTTTATTTTGGATGCGATTAATTGTGATTAATCGTTTGGCAGCACTAAAGACAAGGACTTATAGACCAGGTTAAAATAGATGAAAACAAGGCTGTGACAGATAGATTTACAGTCTTTACAATGGCAAGATCATGTCAATTTTCAACTTTCAAAACTGCTGTGTGTATTTTAGATAGTACAATCCATTGAATCCAAACATTAAATATGGTGCTAAGGTCACTAAAAACCTTAATGAATGCACTGCACATTTTGTGAAGCCCAAAGTAAACTATTTGACGCGAACTCTAGCATACTAGCCTTTATCAATATAATCAGTGTAACAGTGAACGCGTGCACAGGCGCTCGACATATGTGCACTTGTTCAGTGTCTACGCCTTTTCTCTCCAAAAGTTGAATGATAAAATAACTTCATACTTGTTTAAACTAGAGTTGCAGGTTATTATTTAATCCCTTTACAAAACCCTTGTGTTCTGTCTCCTCTGGTTCTTCTCCAACTGAAACTGTGGTCTTTGTTACTTGGTTAGTTTTCAAAGTACAGATTACAGTTGATACATTTGATGAACAAGTAAGCTTTTTGTCATTTGTAACAACCTCACAGGATGTAAAGGACCCGCCGTCAACAGAGACCTCAAACCCGGGAGACTGCCCAAGAGCTCCTCAGGTACTGTCTGTCTGTCTTTATCTCTGTCTGTCTGTCTGTCTGACTGTCCGTCTGTCCATCTGTCTGTCTTTATCTCTGTCTGTCTGTCTGTCTGTCTGTCTGTCTGTCTTTATCTCTGTCTGTCTGTCTGTCTGTCTGTCTGTCTTTTTTTCTGTCTGTTTGTCTGTCTGTCTGTCTGTCTGT